CAAGAAGGTAAAGCTCAGGAGATTCTGGCAAATGCTTCCCTACAAATTCTCCAAGCTTCTTCAGTACCTCTTTCCAAAAAGGGAGAACAGAGGGACATTCCCACATGGCATGCAAGAACATACCCTCTGCCCTCTGACATTTCCAGCATTTTCTATCTTTTGATAGTCCCATTCTGTGGAGTTTAAGAGGAGTATAATAGTATCGATGCACAATTTTGTAATGGATAAATTTGCTTCTAACATCCCTTGCAGCCCTACCAACTTTGGATATTATATCCTGCCATACCTTCTCTCCAATATCCCTTCCCAGGTCCCTTTGCCAGATCAGCCTAAGGTTCTCACAGCTCACACTCTGAATGTCAATGATATGTTGAGAGAATACTGAAGCACTGTGCATTGTTTTAGGTGACTTAAACAGCTTTTGCAACATATTATTCTCCTCCAAACCCTCATTACACTTCAACATACTCCTTATACTGCTTCGTAGTTGAAAATATTTTGAAAGATCTCCTTTCCCATCCAGCCCAAATTCATCAGTCAGTTCCTGATATGTCTTGAATGTTGTATCCTTATATAGATCACTTATGGTGCATATGTTGTTTATTTGCCAATTATCCCAAAAAACTGGTTGTTTCCCTATGTGGACTTGTGGGTTATTCCACACAGAAGAATAGGTCTGTTTATATTGAGATCTACCAAGTATTCTATGTGTTTTAGCCCATACCCAATTGGAATGAGTCAAGATGGGATTTTGGTTCCCACCTGTCTGCCTCTTTTGTGAAAGCGCTTGTATAGGTGTAAATGGGGCCATTAGTGATTGCTCAATTTGTGCCCACCCAACCTCTGAATCACACCCTACCCAGTGCCTAGCTAATTTGGCCAACTCAAAAGTCAATTTATATGTCTCCACATTTGGCAGAGCTAATCCCCCCCTCTCCCTGAGGGAGTACATTTTCCTTATGTTAATCCTGGGCCTTTTTTCATTCCATAAAAAATCTTTTACTATTTGATTATATTGTTTAAATATCCTGTGTGGTATTATTAGTGGCAGCATCATTGAAATATAGTTAAATTGTTGAGCAATTGTCATTTTTATAGTATTCATTTTCCCCCAAAGAGAGAGGTTTATCACTTTCCACTTATCCAAGTTATTCCTAATCTTCTGAAGAACTGTTGCCATATTCAATTCGAGGATACTCTCAAGGTCTGCACTTAGACTTATATCTAGGTAGTTCATGCTGCGAGTTCATGCTGGACTTTCTTCAGTCCTCCACCTAACGTTAAAGGGTGTCTAGCTCAGTCTCGGAGAAATTCCGTTTTTTGGTTCGTTTCCCACACCTGTCGCCGTGACTCACACAAAGAGAGAACACAGATCGCATTCATGAGGTGATTTGCATGACCATTTATGGTTGAAGTAGGGCGTGTAGAGGGCGGAATATGAGGCGGATCTGGGTGCGCACAACTCCAGGAGGTCTGTGATTTATAAAGAGAACATTGTGTGCAAGTGTGCGTGCGCACGGTTTTATAAATCGGATTTTTTTTTGGCGCACCCCATTTTCAGCTTTTGGCCGCACGTCAACTTTTAGTATGAATCCTAAGCACTCTTTTATAAATGAGGCCCCTGGTCTATATGTATCAAATGTGCTATCACCTTTTCCAGCCTTGTTGCCAGGACTTTTGTAAGTATCTTACTATCAACATTTATCAAACTTATTGGACGGAAGCTACCTGGATCTGTGGGGTCTTTATTTTTTTTAATAATTAATGAAATTAAAGCCTCATTAAAAATGTCTGGCAATTTTCCTGATAAAAATGCTTCTGTGTATACATCAGTCAGTATGGGTGCTAGTATATTAATAAATTTTTTATAATATTCTACAGGAAACCCGTCCAATCCCGGTGATTTCCCTACTTTTAATGCCAATATTGCAGCCCTAACTTCCTGTTCTGTAATTGCTTCATCTAATTGTTTTTCCTGACCTTCAGACAATTTAGGGAGATTAGTCTTTGAAAAAACTCATCGATTTTGACTGGTGATGGATTCATTTCTGATGAGTAAAGCCCAACATAGAAATCATGGATACTTTGTTTATTTCTTTAGTAGCGGTTACTATCTTGCTGTTTTTATTTTGTGTCGCTGGTATTACAGAATTAGCTTCTTTTTGCTGTAATTGTCTAGCCAGAAGTTTACCAGCTTTCTCCCTGCTTTTGTAAAAATTACTATTCAGCCTAAACAATGCATATTCAACTTTTTTGTTATATAAATCATTTAATTGAAATTTCAGTTCACAAAACATATGATTATTGTCACATATGTATACTATCAGATATTAATATATACTTTCAACATATTGGACCACAATAGCCAGAATTATTATTATATTATTACTTTCATTAATATTGTTGTAAGCTACTGTCATGACCGTCTGTCCTGCATCTGTCTCTGTCTCTCTCTCTGTTTCTCCTTCTGTCTCATTGTGTCATATGGATTACTGTTAATTTATTATGCTGATCTGTTCTGTACGACATCTATTGCACATCTGTCCATCCTGGAAGAGGGATCCCTCCTCAGTTGCTCTTCCTGAGGTTTCTACCTTTTTTCCCCATTAAAGGGTTTTTTGGGGAGTTTTTCCTTATCCACAATGAGGATCCAAAGGACAGAGGGATGTCGTATGTAAAGCCCTGTGAGGCAAACTGTGATTTGTGATATTGGGCTTTATAAATAAAATTGAATTGAAATTGAATTGAACATATTTGTGATGCACACACAAATATTTCTTGTTGTAAATATGTGCAATTGAAATTCACAAACATACGCATGTAAAAGAATTTGCAATTTTCATCAAATACATATTTGGAGATTGTTACATTGATATATGAACTTTTGAACCTGCATTTACAAAGTGCTTTCAATTTGTAAACTTCCCTGCATTTGTGTGTGGTGTTTTGAGACTCCCCTGACGTGACTCGATTCACAAAATGCATTTTTTCTTAGAGGGGATTGTTTGCAGCCAATCAGATGTCTCACTCCCTTACAGTCAGTTTAGTGTCAAGACAACTTTCACATCATAATAATCTCAGCACAGGAGTAAAAAATGGTGTCTGACCTCAGAGTCTCCAGTTTACAGTGTGGACTCTCCAGAAAATCACACAGCTGCTTCACTCCTGAATCCTGCACCTTGTTGTTGTAGCTCAGGTCCAGCTCTCTCAGATGGGAGGGGTTGGACTTCAGAGCTGAGGCCAGAGAAACACAGCTGATCTTTGACAAACTGCAGCTCCTCAGTCTGAATAAAGAATAAATGATGTAGATAAAAATCATTAATAAAACAATCAGATGTGTTCAGGTGTTAAATGTGTAGCTCAACATTACTATGTCCTGATCAATGAGCTTTGCCCTGAACTGAGTAGAGTGACTTTGTCATTGTGTTATTGTGTTGATCCCAACAGGATGCAGGTTAAAGACTGGAAAATACAAAAAGTGAAAAACAGCTCTCATAAATATCATTGACAACGTGCTGCTACTTCAATAAAGATGTAGTGACTTCACCTCTTAAACTCTGCCAGCTCCACCAGTGGCTCCATCATCACTAACTCATGTTGTGCAGCCAAACACAAATCACTTATTTAAAGAATCATGAGGGTAAATTTAAGTTGAAATCAAGTGTTTAA